CCTGCTGCTTCTTCACGAATTACAAGAGGAGCTGGCATTGTTCTGCTGGCTTTCACGGAAGATCATCTGTCCAATGCAGGCACAGGTGGCTTCAAGAGTACTGAGACAGTTTAAGTGAAATGAACAATTTCATACTTCAGTGCTTGGTAGGCAACACTGAGTCCATTTGCAGAGTACAAAGGGGTCAGCCTGGGTTTCAGAGTGAAATTTCTGCATTACACAGAGGTGCACCCTGTAGGACTCTCCTCTGATTTCAGCAGAAATCTCGAACATAGCTCTACTTAAACACTATGAAATACGAAAAGGAAAGGTGGTATCAAAATGGTAGGTAAAGCCCTGGGCTTAGAACCTGACATAAACTGAAACCGTGTGTCAGTGCTTCCCCTGTTAATTGACTTAGATCTCTGACTCTGTGTCCAGCTCCGTTTCTGTCCTCCACCTTTCTATTTACACTGCAAACTTCCAGTGCAAGGGCTAGACCTCACTGTATGTTTGTATACAGCCTACTGCAATCATTATACAAATAAAAATAACATGGGAAACTGTCAGATGAGAGATACTCCAGTTAAAGAGAAAACTAAAACATGTATGCAATTAAACAGAAAAGCAGACAAACCTACAGATGGACAAGGCCTCCTCTTTTCTACTTCTAAAAGACTACTGCAAGTATCTGGGCGCAAATAAAAAGGGGGCTTGTTCATCCAATGCTCTTGCAAGGGAAGAGGAAGAGCACTATGCTCAAAAAGAAATCATGGTTGCAAATTTAATACAGGAATACTGATTTTTTCTCTCCAGAAATAAACACATCAAAGCAGCCTCAGACAGGCTTCCCCTAAAATGGAACGGGTGCTTCATACAAGTATCAGAGAGAAAACAAGATGCAGTAACTTCTGCCTTTGAAAACTGGCTCTTTTGATGCCTCTTAGAGCGGTCCCCTGCTAGTGCAGCAGGGAGGAATAACGATGGAGTTACCTACTTTATAATAGTCATACAATAGGCCAAGAGCAGCAGCACTGTCCTCATCACCATTTATGCTCATCATAGCCTTGGTAGCTGCTGTTAGGGGATTCTCCAAATACGACTTCCAGGCTTCATCTTCGCTGGTGTAGGCTCGTCTGGTGTTGAATGAAGTGTCATTTGGCACTAAGGCCACAAGTCGCTTGTTACTGCATAGACAGGAAGAATAAAATGGTGATCCAGAAGGGATTACTTTATTCACAAGGCATGTTAAAGAACATCACACAGCTCAATGAAAGTGATATTATGACATCAAGCAAGCATCTCTGTATTAAACTTGGTGACATAAATATTTACCAGTATTAGGTATCTTCAGTACTTAACAAAAAAAAATTAAATGTGTGCAGATCTTGTGATAATCACGCAAATGTATTTTCCTAATATACAGATAGAGCTATCAAAATATTTTAAAACTATTTGGAAAAAAAGGAAGTAACAATATAAGAACACTTTGCCCCAGTGTTTTTCCTAGATGTACATTTGATTAGGGAAAAATACATTTAACTGAAATCAGTTATAACAAGAAGACATGAATGAAAAAAAAGTATGTAATACTAATCTAGTGTTCACCTAAACCAAGTGTAGTTCAGTATTTAACAACAGTATTTAATAAGGGTACACCTTATAATTGAGCTATTCTCTGCTTTTGGAATGCCATTTGTCCATAATTTCAGAGATGTTTTCTGTAACAGCACATGAGCAATGGGTCCAGCGGATGGAGCAGAAGTTGTCAACATATTTGGTCTCAATTCCCACTTTATCACTCACCACATCTAGTTACAGACCCATGGCAATGCACACAAGACCATTAGTAAGGGGGATTTGCAGCAGAGCAGTTTCCTCCAGCCTGAAAGTGGTACAAACTGACCAGTGCCTGTGTATATCACGGGAGAGGCTGGTGTACCACAGCTATGGCTGAAATTTCCGGTATAACGGAAACATAAATGAAGATAATAGTACGTGCTTTTGTAAAATGTTCAATAAACTGATGGATAAAAGAGCTAGGGGGAAAAAAAAAGTAGCATTCCTATTACACAAGATAGTAGGCAAACAGATTAGGCAGGGAAATAGTGGAGCGAGGGGTGTGCTGCTTGTTTGTTGCAGGACCACTGTCAAGAATTATGGCTCAAGTTACAAGGATCACAATAAAAATTTTAACACATTACACTTTACAAATTTGAAAGCTGCAAAGATAGTGGAATAACTGAATATACTAACTTAACTGATGAAACTAGCAGTTATTGCCGGTGACCTTCACAAAACATTTCTTGCTATCTTCTGCATAAAAACTGTTCATAATTCAGTCTCCTCTTTTTGCTCTCCCCTACCTGCAGCGGTGCCAGCTCCACAGACCTAACCCAACCAACTGCCGCTGTTGCACAGAGAGCGGCATTCAATCACTGTGCAACCGAGCCTTTTATTTAATTTCAGAAACAGGATTTGATAAAAGCACAACTGAACCCACGCGGTAAATGCTCTCGCTCTCGGATGCCAGGAACGTGTCTTGCCTGCAGCCCCCAAGCCGCAGTGACCGGCAGGCTGGGGCTTCGCCCGGGGCTCCGCTGCTGCCTGAGCGCAACCTGAAAAATTCATGCTCCGGTGTTTAAGGAAGAGAAGGGGGATGGTGGAGATTATCATCTCTATGGTACAGAGCACTGTTTACAAGTTTCTTTTTTTAATGAAAAACAAAATAATCCATCTGGTACACAGAGCACAGTTTTATGAGCTCTGTGGGGGAAGAGAGCATTTCATAGCTTTGTATCACAATTATGGTTCAGATTATACTTTCCTTTCATCTAAAATATCAGCCAACAATTACAGTTCAGATTATATTTTCCTTTCATCTAAAATATCTGGATTTTTAGAGGCTTGCTTTCTTTTCCGAGGGCCTTTCTTTCTGCCTGGCCTTTTGCTGTCTTTTCTAAAGATTTCTGTCCTTCTTGTTACCACATACACATTTGTGTTGTTACAGGTTTGCTTCAGCAAGCAAAGCTGAAGCATAAATTAGGAGCCCAAGGAAAGACAGAGAGAACTGCTAGGTCCGCTTGCCTTTTCAATACCTTATTGTTAGCGACTCGAATCAGATCTGCAGCAGCCCCGCTGTTTGTGCCAGAGGTAGCTGAGGGCCTGTTCCCACCCTGGAGTAGCCAATTCTCCCTGGCTCAGAGGCAATTATTCCAGGCAAGGATTCTCCTTTCCTCAACAAAGCTCCCCTTCAGCTAAACCCGGGCTGTTTCACTGCATGGGCGGCTGCCCATTGCAACGCACAGAATACCGCTCGCTCTCCTTCCTGTAGCAATCTTCCCTTACAATCAATAACTGCCTTTTGTTCCTCGGAGCGCTCATAGCCAGGCGATAGTCATAACTGATTTATGAGCACTACAGGCAGACTGAAAGATGCCCTTTAAAAACACGCCTTTGAAGAGCTGGGCTGTGCTTGTCTGCAGAAACTCTGCTGCTCTAACTTAGTCAAGACAATCTTAAAGCAATGAAGAGAGTGCTGTCCCTCAGAGGTGGTGTATATAACTGTGTTGGGGAGAAGCTAAAGTAAAGGGGATGAATGCTCTAGAACAGCCGCTCAGTAAGTAAACAGTTGGGATGCCTGGAAAGGCACAGGTTCATAGACTCCTCAGCATCTCCCCAGAGCACATTTTCTCTAAAACCCAGGTTTTCACATTTAAAAACTAAATATCCATCTCCTCTGGCTCGAGACATGGTCTGCAGCATAATCAACCGACACACTCATTGTGTTTACTCTGCAAACAGACTGAAACAATAGCACTAAGAAAAATAAAAAACTTCCTCATCACCCCCATCCCTGTAATCAGCTCTGTGGGAGGTTAATGGTCAGACCTAATTATCATGATTTAACATCGTCACTCATTTCAGAGATTATATCCAAAGCAGTCAGCCAAAACAACTGCGCTCCCTTTAAGAAAACTTCTCTACTAATTAAGGTCGTTTGGATGGGAGGGAGGGTTCCTCTTAAGAAACGAGACTTGTGTGTGCACACACATTCCCTTTCCTTTTCCATGACTGCTGACCCTCCTGGACAATTTCAGCCAAATGTGACTGAAAGAGGGGTAGCCAAGTCCCCTGTAACCAGAGGAGATAAGCACTTTACATTTTAATACATGCCAAGAAAACCCAACCCCCTGAGCGAGGCTCCACACAGGTAAGCTCCCCTGGTCCCACCAGGCACCCTTTTCATGCTGGGGCACCCCCAGCTGTTCCAGCTGTGTAATGGATGACAGCAGGCAGCTGCTCAGAGGAGTGACTCTGGTGGCACCTGGGCCACGGGGAAGATAAAGGGTGACACCTACAAGAAACCTAAGAGCGTTCCCACAGGAGAGAGCTGCTCTGAACACCCCACCTGTGAGAAAAGCCTCAGTTTGAGCCTGCAATTAGCAACACATCTACAAATCTTATCAAAAGCTGCAAACCCATCAGTGACCACAGTCACGGAGAACTACTCACTTAAGGAAGGAAGACGGGTCAAGGTTGCAAGTGGAAGACTCCCATTCAACCCGGCCAGCAATATCAGCAAATATCCGCTGTAGCCCCAGGCACATCTTCTAAAACAGCCTGCCAAGGAGCAGAGAACAAGCCCAACCCTGATCGTGGCCCATTCCTCACTCGGGCTAGCCCACCACCCCTCCACCTCCGAACACAGCTAGAAGGGACATGCCCCTACAAGCTGAAAGCACACCATTATTTTACCATGGAGATACAGCTTAACAATTGAGGATGCTTTGTGCCTAAAAAAAGTACATGTTTCCTTTCAAGCTATCAGTTGATCTTCTAATGAATGCAAAATGTTTCAATTGTTTTATGTTAAATAGTAGTAGGTGGTTATGTATCTTAATTTATAGGTGTGTGAGGATGAAAGATATTTTCTGAGGAATGGTCTAGCTTAGGAGCTAGATTCCCCTGACACTTGAGTGTTTATGTCAAGACTAAACTTCAGATGGCCTTTATTTTGCAAAATCTTTCCCCCCCCACCAACTGTTTAGTAGAGATTTTCTTGTTTGTACCATCTTACATGATTTGTGTGCTTTCCTCTAAGAAGAGATATACATAACTTTTCCAGATTTATAGTTACGGTGATTTCTGCATCTGGTGAACTAATATTTTTGAACTCATTTTAAAATTAAGATTATGGAATTTTATAAAACCCTACACAAGTGTAGTTTATAAAGAGAGATGTCAAAAACTGTGCTCATTTCATTTCAGTTACTGCAGTACAACAACGTAAGTTGGAGAGGTACATTGTACTTAATGTCAATAAATTAGCTGAATGGAAAGGGCTGGCCTTTCAAGCTCTTCAGATTAGAGATAATGAACTTTCAACAGCCAGCACTTGAGGCTATAAAATCCTACTACAGGCAAATTCTCACCCGACTTGATGCAATTTGTGAATTAGCTTACACAGAATCAGAAATGCCCATTAACACATTCATGAACAATGGTGAAAGGCTGCAGCTTTGTGACCAGAGCTTGCTTTTTATTCAGAAACAAGATGTCCTGCCTGCCACTGTCTCTCAGCCAACTCTGATGCTCAAGAACTTTCTGTTTTGCAAAGTTCATGCAGTCCTCAACCTCTTCGCTAAATTTGCCATTGAACATAAAGCAGACCGATGCAGCCATGCTGCATCAAGTACAGCTGCATCCTACGCCATCATATGCTCAGCATTACATCCTGATCCGGTTGGTGCTAGTGGGGAAGAAAGTCTCATCCTGCCTGCCCCTCAACTTTTGCTTTGCCCAGGAAATTCATCCCTGAAACAAAGAGACCATTAAAAACACCAAGGTGGGCACCCAGCCCAATTATTTCCCAAGGTTTTTTTTTAATTGCTTTTTTGGACATTATTATTTGTTCTTTCAACAAACTTAAAGAAAACCAAATAAATTGTAAGATTTGAGGTGCTCCATGCATATCCCTGCAGACGACTTTGCCCCCTGATGATGCATTAGGGCTCCCCCTCCCTGCAAAGGCTAGGTGCCAGATGGGAACACAGCAAGCAATGTGCATAAGGCAGCAGGAAAATGGGAGGAATCCCTGTTCCCAGGTTTCAGCCCAGGCCTGAGCCTGCCTGTTCTTATGCCTGTGAGACAGGAGCGCCAAGCACATCTACACAGCATCCTCTGA